TGGAGTGATGAAAACCAAAACGTGCGTACAACAATACAAACATATCAGTAATAATGTCTTCTATTATTGTTTCAAAATGATTTTATCTCGCTCAGATCTTTGTATAGATAGGAATCCGAACAGGTGCCGGCTATTTCGCTCTGACATGTTTTGTTTTCCAGAAAGAAGAAAGAATACGACATCGCTTCAGATTGTCTTTGAGTTTGTCTTGGGAACGCAAGAATGACCTTCCAACTAACCTGCTTTTTTAGAAGCTGGCCAAAGAGGAAGTGTTTTCGAAGTCTGCTATCACTCATACGAGAAAGATTTCCTGCTCACCTGAGTCAGATTTTTATTAGGAAGGCTTCAATATCCGCCATGTTGTATTTACTCAGAACTTTAGTAATTCTAATGCGATCACCCAGTTTTCAGTTATAGAACGTGCGTGGTGGAGACATGAATTTGGTGGATGTGACGTCGGTACAGAGTCAAAGTTTGTTCAATAGTGAGTAGAGATTTCAGTACTGGTAACTTGTACACATTAGTATTCAGCTTTAACGAAACATCTTTCCAATGCTTATGATAAAGATTGCCGAAGGCAGAACTAGATTTTCCAATCCTGCACCCAATTTCAAAGTTTAACATTTTTAGATACAATGGAGCCAAGATAGGTGAAAGCGGAAACGGTTTTCAAGACTTTTCCCTCAACATAAGCAGCGTGATCAACTGCAAGGGGAAAGTTGCAGATAGGCTGATGGACAAGTTCTGTTTTTTTTTTTTTATGCATGAGAGAATTTGTTAAGGATCAATTGCATATCCGTAAGGGGTGTGCACTCATATACAAAGAGCAGGCGACGAACACTATTAAAATACTGATATAATACATACATATATATATATATATATATATATATATATATATATATATATATATATATATTAAAGTTAAAATACTGATATAATTCACATAATTTTTATAATAAACAGTATTCATAACATTTACCGGCGAGAGAGAGAGAGAGAAAGAGAGGGAATGAGAAACAGAGGGAGAGAGAGATAAACAAGTGATTTATATTTTACAATTTTCGAATAAGGTGTTGAGCATTGTACTTTGTGGATAAACTGTCAGGAGTTCATTATTTTTTTCAAGTATTTTAGACTTTCGCAAGAATCGACGTGGTGTCTACGTGGCAAGTTACAATCCCTTTGTCTACACCCTATATATATATATATATATATATATATATATATATATATATATTATTAGAAATCTTATAAGTATAAGAAATTATACTCGCTCGGAAAACCTTCAGTGTGTTGATCTGCAAATAAACAAGCCAATACTAAAGGGGAACAAAGGTATAAAAAAAAGAAAGAACCAAGAACATGTACGTTAACCGAAAAAATCGTCCAGCATACGAGTTCCAGACCCAAAGAAAAAAAACTCGATGCGAGTACCCAAAACAACTAAATAAAGTGCTCAATACAATGAGTAGAGCAACCTGACCGGACGATCCGCTTAGGTGAAACATTGGTAAGTTTGTCTGGCTCTCTAAGTTTAACTATATAGTTAAACTTAGGTCAGGTTGCTCTACTCATTGTATTGAGCACTTTATTTAGTTGTTTTGGGTATCACATTATGAATACACACACACACACACACACACACATATATATATATATATATATATATATGTGTGTGTGTGTGTGTGTGTATTAAAAATATTCAAAAATTAGATGTTGAGATGTCGCTCAACAGAATCAACTAACCAACATATTTTATCTTCAACATCATGGTTTCGCAAATTATTGTTGGTGCTTTTTTATTGTTGTGGATTCCGGGATGAAATCCGGTAGCAATAAATAACAAACGCCAAGAAGGATTATAGAAAAATAAATGTATTAATGTAATAATACAAACTGGTAATGCAGGTTAGTAGTTCCAGGAATGCGGGTTAGTAGCAAAATATATATATACAGTCTTTGGTATCGACGTATCACTGTATGACTTTATACTGAGTCTACGTGCTTGCTCACTGTGACTCTTGCTCGTTACGTTCGTCCTGGTTCGTCGCTCTTTCTTGTTCTTTCCCCCGGGTATTCACTAGCAGTAGTATATATATACCCTGGGTGAGTCCATTTGCGTCAAAAAGGGGAGAACCCCTTAACAGTTTCGAAAATTATTGCTGGCGCTTTTTTATGTTGCTTCTTCTTCTCGATATGCCATATTCTCTCAGGATTCCTATCCCTTGTAGTTCATAATAAATATTGTCTTTCTATTATTTCTCCTAAGTCCTGTCCTGCCATCCATTTACTCAAGCTCAATATGTATGTCAGGCCTTTTTTCTCTGTCTCTCTTGCATTCAATATACCCTGTAAGTATCAGATTCTCCAAGCCCCCCTTCTTTATTATGTACCCAGAATACTCAGTTCTTCCTGATTTCACCAACTAACTTCCCCAATGGTAAAAGTATGTATCCTGATATATTTTAATAATTATTAATTTAATCTTCTTAGTGTTTACATTTTCTTAGTCATCCTATTTTGTATATTGATTCTTGCTTCCAGTGTATATGTATATGTGTGTGTTTTTGTGTGTAGATGAATAATCTTCAAACACAGCTCTACAAATTTAAAATAAATTTTGTCATTGAGTTTTCTTTCAAGTTGAACGAAACGAATTACAAATGTCCTCGAAAAACAAAGTCTCACAAAATTATTTTTGTTTTTGTTTCTTACAGAACACAGAATAAATTGCATTAGAATGATAGAAGAAACAGAATATGTATACATAAGAAAAGTGTTTTGTTGTTTTAGGAATGCGTGTAATTTTCAAGCAGTAGCAGTCAACAGACGTGAATGTTGTTTTATAACTACTACTAACGTTTGGTTTATGAAAATCTCCATTCATATGTTTTTCGCGTTGCTTAATTTACTCTATAATTCCTAGACTTTTGTAATAACTTAATCAATAGAATATGTTAAAGGTTAAGTAATTATATGAACGGGGTGAGAATACAGTTGTGCGCAAAACAGTAAACCCGGGTCAAAATTTTACCGAAAAGCTTAATTTGTAAATTAAACGCGACAAATATTTATAGATAATACATAGGTTCAAGGAAACCAAAAGTTAGTTCTACTAAACTCATGAGTTCATTGGTTAATAAATAGTTTTCCTAATTTTAAAATATATATTTTTAAGAGGAAAAATGTTGTTGATCGTTTTTTTTTTTTTTTTGAGGGATCTCTGAAATTTCGTAGCGGACGACAAATATGCTTGTCTGAACTTTCAATGGTCTAAGAGCGTTTGTAATAACGTCCCTGATTGGTTAAAAATGCGAATATGGAAATTCAAATCTGGAGTCTACATTGTGCATTAAAACTAGTTTTTCTGATAGTACTTTAATCTATTTTATTTTTTCAACAATTTCTAACGGCGTTTCCCAACACAGACACACACATACATACATATATATATATATATATATATATATATATATATATATATATATATATAGTCAAACCTAGTGAGCCAGACAAACCTACCCAGGTTTCACTTAAGCGGATCGTCAGGGAAAGCAGGTTTGACTTGATTTAGGTTTTTCGAGACGAGTATAGTTACACACACACACACATATATATATATATATATATATATATATATATATATATTCACGTCTGTAGTGATTACTTGCTTATTAATTTAGTGTTAATTATTGAGATTACTGCATTTAATAAAAACTTTTTTTCGTTGAGAGCGACTATAAATATTTTGACGCATCATCAAAGAGTGAACATTCGGTCTTTTACATATGTGAAAAGACAACGCCGGGAAAAAGGCTGAAATCCGAGATAGCTAAAGGCGATGTCTTCCCGACTCGCAGGAGAGTGGTGGTCTACCCAGTAAAATACTAAAATATCAGCGACCACAACTAGATTTCTCTGTGTCATTACCTATTATATCAAGTTCCTAACGTTTTGTACGTCGAACCTATTTTAGGACCGACTTAGTACGAATACAAGCCTCCACTGTGAAACCACTCTACAACAAATTCTGCCACTTCAAGTCTCTTCTTCATCTATGAGGAGATTGTTCAGCATTCACTGCATAATAGGAGGACAGATATCAAGTAAAAGTTCTTTTCTTTGTCTTCAACAAAGTTTTTCTCTCTCTTCATTCTCTGTTTAGCTTTTGAGATGCATCTTTGATCATCCCAATACGTCTTCGGATCTCAGTGTCGCACTTTCCGTTCTCTGTTAGAACACTTTCCTAGATATTCAAATTTTTGTACTTTAACCCCCGATTTGTAATTAACTTTGTAAAATTATGTATTTTTTTTAAATCTTATTTTTGTGTTGCTTATTTTTCTATAAAACTATAAAACTATAGAATAGCTTGACTTAAACGTGATATTCAGGTCAAATAGCGAATACTGTCTTAGAATATATATGGGTCAAGAGAAAGATTTAAAAGCTATAGAAACTACACGGAAGTTAGTGCTAATATCAGAAAGAGATAAAAATTTTCGGACTCATAGAGTGGAAAGAAAAACAATTGTCGAGTATATTCTAAATACAAGATAATCTGTGATAAACGTTTAGAATATATATTCGAAAATCGTAAGCCAATTTCAAGACTTATCCACCTCAAGGCGTCAGTTCAGCAATCGTTTTACCTCTTTTCCTTCCTCACGATTCAACTTGTGCTAAGTCTCAAGTGTTGCCGAGAAAGAGGATCATGAACGGTTTTGGTCCATTTTCGTTTGAAAGTAGATGCGACCTCATGCTAAAAAGGAAGATATCTAACGCCTTTTACTCTGCTTGGATGATTTGTGTTACGGATTTTGGGCAAATTGTTTTTATGCGGACGAATCAAGTGGAAATTTGCATCCGTTCATCGACAGATATTGTACGAGTTGCAAATGACTTCATTTTCAAGTGTCATCGATTTACAGAAGAAGCCTTTGGCTAGAGTGAATATGTGGAATATTTCTGGAATTCTCACTTTTGTAAAATGGTAGGAATTTTCCGAGTCGCTTAACTTTCAATTTACTTGAAGACAAAAGTCTCGAGACTTATATCACACGTTTGTCACGTTTTGAGTATCTTTCTTTTCTTTCTTTCTTTTTTTTATCTTTTTTTGTTTTTCTTTTTAGTTTTTCTTTCCTTCTTTTTTGTTTTTTCTTTTTTGTTTTTCTTTTTTGTTTTTTTTCTTTGTTTTTTTTACTTTTTTTTTGCTGTTTTTCTTTTCTTTTTTCTTTTTTTTGTTATTCTTTTATTTATTTCTTAATTTTTTTCGTTTCTTTTTTCTTTTTCTTTTTCTTTTTTGTTTTTCTTTCTTTTTTACTTTTTGGTTTTTTGTTGTTTTTCTTTTCTTTTTTTGTTTTTCTTTTATTTCTTTCTTTATTTTTTTTCGTTTTTCTTTTCTTCTATTTTTTTTTCTCTTTGTTTTTTTTGGGTTTTCTTTTTTGTTTTTCTTTTCTTTCTTTTTTACTTTTTTGGTTTTTTTTGGTTTTTCTTTTCTTTTTTCTTTTTTGTTTTTCTTTTATTTATTTTTTGTTTTTTCGTTTTTCTTTTCTTGGTTTTTTGTTTTTCTTTTTTGTTTTTCATTTCTTTCTTTTTTGTTTTTCTTTTTTGTCTTTTTTTCTTTCTTTTTTCTTTGTTGTTTTTCTTTTTTCGTTTTTCTTTTCTTTCTTTTTTTGTTTTTTCTCTTTTGTTTTTCTTTTCTTTCTTTTTTTCTTTTTTGTTTTTCTTTTCTTTCTTTTTTACTTTTTTGTTGTTTTTCTTTTCTTTTTCTTTTTTGTTTTTCTTTTATTTATTTCTTTCTTTTTTGTTTTTCGTTTTTCTTTTCTTTCTTTTTTGTTTTTTCTTTTTTGTTTTTCTTTTTTTCTTTCCTTTTTTACTTTTTTGTTTTTTGTTGTTTTTATTTTCTTTTTTTGTTTTTCTTTTATTTATTTTTTTTTCGTTTTCCTTTTCTTCCTTTTTTTGTTTTTCTTTTTGTTTTTCTTTTTTGTTTTTCTTTTCTTTCTTTTTTACTTTTTTGTTTTTGTTTTTCTTTTTTGCTTTTCTTTTATTTATTTCTTTCTTTCTTTTTTGTTTTTTCGTTTTTTTCTTTCTTTTTTACCTTTTTGTTTTTCTTTTGATGTTTTCCTTTTATTTCTTTTTTCTTTTTTCTGTTATTTATTTATTTCTGTTTTTCATTCTTTGTTTGTCATTTCTTTCTTATATTTTACTTTCTGTTTTTTTTATATTTTGTAGTTGTTTCTTTCTGTCTTTCTTTGTATTTTACTTTCTTTTTTTCTGTTTCTCTTTCTTTATTCTTTTTGTTCCTCGTTCTTCCTTTCTGATTTACTTTCTTTCTTTTTTTCTTTCTGTTTCTTTTTCTTTCGATTTTTCCTATTTTTTTTTCTGTTTCTTTTTCTAACTGTCAGCTTTTTTTCATATCTTTCTCTCTGTTGTTTTCTTTCCATCTTTCTTCATGTTTTTCTTCCATTTTCATTTTGTTTTCTTTCTTTATTTCTGTTTTTCTTTCTATTTTGACTTTTGTCTCTTTCTCTTTCTCTTTTTTTAGTTTTCCTTTCTTTCGTTTTTTTTCTTTTTATTTCTGTTTTTCTTTTATTCTGTCTTTCGTTGAAGGTGGTCGTAGGAAAGGACGCTAACTTGGAAACTTATTGGAAAATATCAAACAATGGAATTGCAGATTGCTGCTGTTGATAGACCGTTGTGGGGAAGAACAGTGTGGCCTCTGCATTCGGATCCCACCTACGATTAAAAAAGATGATGACGATGATTTGAATAAATTCGATCATTTTTAGATTGCTGGAATTAGAATTTAAATCAACTGAAGATGACGTCATCTGTAACGGTCAAACTGAAAATGTATCGAGCATATCATCTTTGTCCCCATATTTATTACAACGTTTCGGCAGTTGTACGCTTCGGCCTTCTTCAGTTGGTTGGAATGTCGAACTGAACCCTTTATTTCGTTCACTGGGGTAGACTGTTCTAGTCCCACGTGCTGTTTAATGGATGTTAGTTATCAGTTCTCCTGTTAATTTCCCTCTGAAAGTTCTCCACTGCTTTAACCGGGTATTGAACTCACAGCTGGATCAACGCCTTTGTCCACTGTACCATTTGTCTTTGAAGACATCTGTGTATGAATTTCTGGGTATTATAAGCCTAATGTCTTCAACAGCCATTTTAAATATGGCGACAAAGATGAGGACAATAGTCCGAATAATGTAAGTAATGTACATAATACCCACTTCTCAGAAATATAGATAGATACTGACGTGTTATTGTTTTGAATAGTTTTTATGTCCGTGTTCGGCGTACGAGTGAAGGAAAAAAAACCATATGAATCGCTGTGATCCGACTGCATGGAAAAGGGGTAGACACACCATTTGCTTCCTATTGAAGGTGGATACCGCGGATTCCGTGGAAGGTTAATCTTTTCCTTCTTTTTGAATGCGGACACCACTGGCTGGTACCTAAAGCGTGCTTCACATCGTCTCCAGCCCATAGCTCAACAGGCATCGATTTGGATCTGGTCAAGATCCAAAATAATTTAGGGTAAATAAAACCATGCTCGCAACAGAATGCTACCTCTGATGTGAAACACATCTGTTTACTTTCAAATTTACCTCATTCATAACGGTCACTACGACCGCGTTGTGTATTTTAACACAATGTTGAAAATCTCAGTTTCAGTTGTAAAAAAGAAATCGTAAGAGATTGAAACAAATGCCAAAACAATACCCAGTCTGATGGCAAAAGCTGCTGGTGGCACAAGGGGTGGCAATACCACCTTAGCCACCGAAACTGTGATTCACTCCCACCTCCCGTTGGCGGCTGACGAGGGCAAGGTATCGCACGTACTTTGACACGTTGTATGTAGAGAATGAATAAACTTGCTTAGATCAATTTTTGACACCTAAATACAATTCTGTACATACAACGTTTCAAAGCACGTGCGATACCCTGCTCTCGTCAGGTGCCCACCAGGGGTAGTAAACTTAACTTCGCTGATCGGACGATCACCGAAGATAAGTACCGTCGAGCCTGGTCATTACCTAGATGGGTGACCGTTTGGGAATACCAGGTGCTGTAAGCTTGGATGTGAGGGTGGTGTAATGGGTAACAGCTCAGAATGAGAACTCGGAGAGCCGAGTTCTAATTCCGGTCTTGTTCGGTATAATCCCTTTCAAACATATGAATCCATCTCTTCTCTCCCCCAGCTATGGGTTACATAGTAATATTTCTATCTTAAAATCATTATTATCTCAAAAAAAAATGTTAATACAATTTTCACTCGCCAAAAAGAAAAGAAGAATTCTTCTTGAAATCCAAAAATATGTTTCGGCTTTAAATAACCTACAAAAGGTCGATAAGCCGTAAAAAACACATCTGTCAATCAAACCAAAAAATTATGTAAACATCTACGATATTTAAATTGTGGGGGAATAGTGATTTTCTAAGCGTAGTTTGGATGTGGCACAAGGCCGAAAGTAAGCGGCACCCAGTGAGGATCGAACTCACTACTCATTCGTAATTTTTTTTAGCGAGACAAGCTTGCTAACTATTACATCACCTAGAGGTGCCTACTAGTAATTTTCTAAGCCAGGCTAGGACGTGGCACAAAAGCGAATGTATGGGGCACCCAGTGAAGATTGAACTCACTACTCAGTCGTAATAGATCTAGCAAGACAAGATTTCTAGCCATTACACGACGTCGAGACGCCTATAGTGATTTTCCAAGCGTAGCTTGGATGTGGCACAAGGCCGAAAGTAAGGGGCACCCAGTAAGGATTGAACTCACTACTCAGTCGTAATTGTTCTAGCGAGACAATCGTGTTAAACATTACACCACTTCGAGGTGCCAAAATTGTCGGAAAATATAATGAGTTCTTCGGTTGCCAAGTTCTTTGTAGATGCCATCAGTTGCATAAATATTGTACTATCGGGGCAGTTAATGTTAGAAGACTTGTGTAAAAAGAAATGTAAGAATTATTGACTTGGGGATAAAGAGTTATATCATCAAGTTATATTGTCTCCAAGAAACCACAATCGAAGAACTTGGTATTAATATCGAAGCACACGTTAATGGCTATTGGAAACAAACATTAAATCATATGAAAAATGGTTTTGCCATTAATAGAAAATGAAAGAATAGCGCCTATGGACGTTGGACATACAACTATAGAAAAGATATTTAACAATTGTTGTGAATTCCGTGAATGGAATCCTGCACAAATAAATAAACAACGCCATTAATTGAGATAGAAAAATAAGTGTATTAAACGTAAGAATACAGACTTGAAGTGAAGATTAGTAGCCCAGGAATGTGGGCTAGTAGAAAGTATATGTACAAGTCTCTGTAAGTGAAGCCTTAATATATATATATATATATATATATATATATATATATATATATATATATATATATATATCTGAGAACACCCTGTGTCTGTCTACTTATCTCTCAACGTATCTACACGTATCTCAACATCAGGTATTCTCTCTGTCAGTATAAGCATACTTTGGGCGAGTCCATATCATGTAAAAAGGGGAGAGCCCCACAACAACAAGATCATTGGAAGAACTACGGTATATACTTATGTATAAGCCGATTTCATGTGTTTTTATGCTTAATTTTACTCCCCGCCCCCGAAAAGAATTTACCTATGTATAGTGAAACCGGTCACTGAAAATGCATTAGTTTTAAACTCTTCAAAAAATTTACCTGTGTATTGTTCAGCCTTCGATTTTTCGCGCTAAAAAGGATCATAAAAGCCTGCGCTATGCATGAGTATATATGGCAATTTACTAAGCATAGCTTTAATGTAGTACAAGATTGGAGCACTCAGTGAGGATTGAACTCACTACACAGTCGTAATCGATCTACCGAGACAGTCTTGCAGCAGGCCGAGGTGCCTGCATGAGTATATATAGTATCAAGAAAAGTCCATCCATTCCCGGGTAAAAAAAAAAAAAAAACTGAAGAGCATGAAAGCTTTTTCGTGAGGGAGTTTTGCGATGGATTGATAAGAGATGTTTACCAATGTTATTGGATATGAGAAATCACGCTGATTTCCGGGGTACGTTCAAATCGAAATAGTTCTGGGTACCCCTACGTGGTGAAATGGTTAGAAAGCTTGTATCGCGAGATCAGTTACGACTGGGTAGTGAGTTCGATCCTCACTGGCTAACCTATACTTCCGGCATACATCTAAACTACTCATAGAAAATCATTGGGCATTTCGACCTAGTGTGATGGGTAGCAAGCTTGTCTCGCTTGTGCCAGATATAAGCTACACTTAGAAAATCACAATACTCGGGCACTTCTACTTGATGCAATGGTTAACAAACTTGTGAGTTCGAATTTTACTTTTGTCACATCTAAGATACGCTTAGAAAAACATTGGGTGTAATGGTTAGTAAACCTGTCTTGATAGATCAAATATGACCGTAATGAATTCGATACTCACTAGGTGCTCCACACATTCAGCCTTGTGACACATCTAAGTTACGCTCAGAAAATCACTATATTTGGTCACTTCGATGTGAGGTAATGATTAGCAGCCTTGTGAGTTCAAATCTTGTTTGTGTCCTCTCTAAGACACGCTTAGAAAAACATTGTGTGTAATGGTTAGTAAACTTGTCTTGATAGATGAAACATGACCGTAATGAATTCGATAGTCACTAGGTGCTCCACACATTCGGCCTTGTGCCACATCTAATTTACGCTAGGAAAATCATTCGGGCACCTTGACGTAGAATAATAGATAGCAAGTTTATCTCGCTAGAACAATTACGACTGAGTAATGAGTTCGATCCACACTGGCTGTCCCATAATTTCGGCCGTGTGCCACATCTAAGCTATGCTTTGAAACTCACCAAGCTGAAACAACTCGGACGATGATGATTATGATGTTGATGATGAACTCTGAAATCACTTCTCTCTTTGGAATGAGATTAGTTCGTAAGATGATCAGAAACTTGTAAGTTTTCTAAAATAGTAGTCGACGCGACTCCAGTTTTTCCTGTTGCAGACGGTTTCTTTCCAGGATTCTGTTATTTTTCTTTTTATATTATCTTTCTTTTTAATTTATACTCTGTTGAGGAACTACGGTTGGGAAAGGACCACCTATTCCAGTAGATGAAAGAAACGGAAAAAAAAATGATTATTCATATTAATATCCATTCTCCTCTACAGGTGTGCGATATGGACGCTCATGGTTGTGGCAGGGAAAAGGATGCAGGCGCCCGAGAACAAATGCTTGTAACGACTCCTCTGCATTTTGTACTGGGCGCACAAAAACAATGACTACGTGCAAAGCAAGGTCAAAAGTCCCGTAGGCCGACAGGAATCTCTCCTCAGCACTATTAAGCGTGGAAAGATATGATTTAGCTATGTCTCAAGGTCTGCAAGAACATCAGACCTGGCACAGTTGAAGGTGAACGTCAACACAAAAGCTATAAAGACAACATCAAAGAGTAGATGGACATAACAATGCCAGAGATCTTGAGAGCCACTGCCAACAGATCATCCTGGAGGAGTGTTATACTAGAACATACCTATTCTATTGTAAATAGACTCTCCCACATATAATAAGTAGTAATTAGTAGCAGTCGCCAAGGAGCTCAGTGAGTTGGTGAGTCAGTCGATGTCGGACATTAAAGTATCAACCACCACAACTAGACTGCTGCGTCATTAACTATTATTTCAAGTTACTAACGTTTTGTACGTCGAATCTTTTTTAGGAACGACTTAGTGAAATACAAGCCTCCACTGTTAAAACTACTCTACAACACACTTGACGACGTGGATTCGTAACTCATACGGAAGAGAAAAAAAATTTCACCGGCCATAACAACACATTGACGACGAGGGATTCTTTCTCATACGGAAGAAGAAAAAATTTTCGTTCACTCTACAACAACTTTGGCGCTCAGGATTCGAAATTCATACGCAAAAAAAAAATTAAAGTAAAAAAAATTCGTTTCGCCATATACAACACTTGGCGACGAACGTATTTTGGATTCATACGGAAAAAAAAAACTTTTCGTTCACTCTACAACACTTGACGACGTGGATTCGTAACTCATACGGAAGAAAAAAAAATTTCACCGTCCATAACAACACATTGGCGACGAGGGATTCTTTCTCATACGGGAGAAGGAAAATTTTTCGTTCACTCTATAACAACTTTGGCGCTCAGGATTCGAAATTCATACGGAAAAAAAAAATTAAAAAAAAAAAATTCGTTTCGCCATATAAAACACTTGGCGACGAACGTATTTTGGATTCATACGGAAAAAAAAAAATTTTCGTTCACTCTACAACACTTGACGACGTGGATTCGTAACTCATACGGAAGAAAAAAAAATTTCACCGGCCATAACAACACATTGGCGACGAGGGATTCGTTTTCATACGGAGGAAGAAAAATTTTTCGTTCACTCTATAACAACATTGGCGACCAGGATTCGAAATTCATACGAGAGAAAAAAAAACTTTTCGTTCACTCTACAACAAGGAGCTTGTCTGCTTTTTCTGACTTTAGGTTCCCCAACTAGTGGAATAGTCATGATGAGAATTATTCATATAAGAAAATGGACGCGGTATACTGCTCCACCATCCTTCATGGGTGTAACTTATGAAAATCGACCGAGTTACATATATTGCTGTGTTATTGGGATAATAAAAATATAAAATAATTATATATCTACAGGGTGTTGCAACAAAATCCGACACTTGACAAAAAGAAAATGAAATAGGCTTAAAAAAAAGTTGTATATGAAGAGACCCGACAGTTTATTTAGCAACAGTTAGAGTTACATACTACATTATTTTTCAATGTAACCACCGCTGGCGACGGCGACCATCTCAAGGCGGGCGCGAAATGTGTCACACGCTTTGGCGACCATGTCCTTGTCCATAGCAGAGAACGCCTCCACGATGGCAGCCTTCAGAGAGTCGACCGTGTTGTCGGCGAGCTTGTTGATCTTGGCCTCGATCACGCCCCAGAAGAAGTAGTCAAGGGGGCTGCAGTCGGGTGAGGACGGATGCCACATGTCTGGCGACCAGTGGTGAAGAACATTGTTGAGCAGCCACGCCTGGGTCGTCTTGGCCTTGTGTGCAGGAGCGGAGTCCTGCTGGAAGACGTAGGGGCGTCAGGCGGCGACCAGGTCCATCCAGTGCTTCACCACGCTCCTCAGCACCTCCTAGTAGATCTCAACGATGAACCTTAGGCCCTTTTGAAAGCAGAACGGAGGCATGACGTCTCCCTCGCCGGAGATGACGCCAAGGGCCATAACAGAGGAGAGAAAATTCGTATGCTTCACGACGAAAACCTCATCGATGTCTTTGCAGATTCACCTATCGTTCCGCCTGTTGTTCGTCTGGTCCTCGATGAAATTCTTTTCTTTAGAGAAAAACCTCAGTATCCCGGCAGACCCGCGCTTGAGCTCGTTCAGCAAAGCCGCCACCTTGACCATCCTCGACTCCATGGGGGCATTCGTGATGAGCATGCGGTGTGACTTGCGGTAGGAAGAGTAACCAATGTCCTTCTTGATCGTTCGGCTGATCGTCGACTTGTGACAGCCCATGTCAACGACTATTTTGGCGTAGCTCAGGCTTCCATCATTGTCGACTGTCTCCGTGACGGCGGCGACGAACTCGTCGGTCCTAACGGCGGAAGAACCAACGTCGTGGGCTTTTTGTTTGGCAGTAAATTCGTCTTTGTCCTCACACGCCTTCCACTTCCTCCCAATGTCCATGACTATGGTCCTCTTGAACCCAAACCAGGCCATCACTTCCTCAGGCTTCTTCCTGACGCGAAAAGTAGCTACTATCGCTGCTCTGCGCTCATATTCCATCCTGGAAAAGGGTAGAGAGAAAACGTTAGTTAGTTGTCAAACTGTCGGGTCTCTGCATATACAACTTTTGTTTTTATTGCATATTTCGTTTTCTTTTTATCAAGTGTAGGATTTTGCTGCAACACCCTATACATAAATAAAGCCTAGTGTGCATGTGTCTGTCCGTTTTGCGATCATGGCGAATCATAAACTACCTGAATAAACAGGGGTAACCACTGCAGTTACACGAGACTAAAAATTAAGCAAATATCTCATTTAAAGATAAATTTGAATATCGAACAAAGTAAAAGCTCTTTAAAACGACTCTTTATTAAGGGTTTAACTTTAATTTCACCTTTCGTCTTAATTGCAGTTGATATATTCCAACTAAATCGTAATTAAAACTGAAGTTGGGCAAGGTACGTTGCTCATATGTTTTGTTTTTCTTTTACTAGCATGTAGACAGTGACGGTTCCCTGGTGTATTTTAAAAGTGTCTTTATGTGAAGGAATCATAAAGAATAGCAATTTTAAAAGAAAATAAAAATTGCACGTAAAATAAATGTAAAGAAACTATGGAGATCGGTTACGTATACGAAGAAAGATTATGCCGAGTTACGGTTTCGAATAAAGATAGACTAATTTTATTATTTCTAAAATCTTATAACTTATGTAAATAGGACGCTGAAGGTAAAAGACCGAAGACCCAAAAGGCTACGCAGAGGATTGCCTCCAGAATGGCGGCTTCTAGGCTAGATAGTATTAAAAATAAAAGTGATATGTAAATATAAAAAAAAGATAATTATAAAATAAAACTAATAAACTAATAATATGAATAAGTAGTATAACTTATATATAAAAAGTAAGCCTTTGATAGAGATCTTAAAAGTATGGCAGAGGAAGAAAAAAATCATTACAATAAATCTCCGTTTTCATTTATGTTTTTATACTAAATCTGAAAGTTCTCAAATATGTCCGTCATCAGCCAACATGGCGCCAGCGAGTGTTGAAACTCGGTATGACTAGAAATTATAAAACAATTCCAGTGATGTTCATTATATTGTGAATAAAAATATTCTGTTAGATTTTATTAGGTTACACCATAAATTACTATTAACCAAACGATGTTGTTAAACATTTAAGAATATACCTTTGGGATTTGGATTAAGCCGAGTACGATGGAAATTGTTGCAGGATCAGATGAAAAATGGTTTTGCCATTAATAGAAAATGAAAGAATAGCCTCCATGGACGTTGGACATACAACTATAGAAAAGATATTTAACAAGTGTGGTGGATTCGGTGAATGTAATCCTGCACAAATAAACAAACAACGCCAGTAATTGAGATAGAAAAATAAGTGTATTAAACGTAAGAATACAGACTTGAAGTGAAGATTAGTAGTCCAGGAATGCGGGTTAGTAGAAAGTATATGTACAAGTCTCTGTAAGTAAAGCCGTAATATATATATATATATATATATATATATATATATATATATATATATATATATGACTCTTGTATAACTCTCTGAGAACACCCTGTGTCTGTCTCCGTATCTCTCAACCTGTTTCAACGTATCTACACGTATTCTCTCTGTCAGTATAAGCTTACTTTGGGCGTATAAATGTAAACAAACTAGAAGAGGAATATTGGAATATGAGCAGCTGTAAAAAAATCAGAGGAGTGGTTAAGATGGGTAATTTTTGACTAACTTGAATGAAGGAATGATATGTAAATATACAGCAGTAGTAGTATTAGTAAACAAAATAAAAACAAAAAGATAAATGTTTTCATCTATTTCATGATAATTTTATATATATATATATATATATATATTTTAAAAAGTTTTTTTAATTTATTGAATTCTATTATTATCATTTAAAGGAATTATAATTCTTAAAGTGATGCACTTGGTAACAAACTGTTTATTTCGATATCCAGTATAAAATATATATTTTTAGATTAAGCTCTGAATCGTTGTATCTTAGAAATGATTAAAGATATCTTACTGGAATTCTCTGAAGTTTTTCTAACAGTATTAGATTCTACTTTGAGTAATAAAAGTGTATAATTATTCTCCAAGCTTAACAGAAGAATCTTGATGAAATCGATCAGAAACGAAAATAAAATTTTCATCATTAATTAATCATAGCTAAGAATCAGAAGCTCGTGAAGGATTAAAATTAAGTTCACACACACACACACACACATATATATATATATTCCAGGATCATTTTCCAAGTTATTGAAGATGATATTCGTCCTCTCTAACCTTCTAACATTCCTTCTTGGAGTAACAAATTGCCTCAAAGTTTTCACGTACGATTTCATTTTCAAGTTTTTTTTTCACTACTCTTTTTTCA